AAAAGAGCAAGAGCTCTAGCCAGGCTCAGTGGCTCAGCCTGTAATCCCGCACCTTTGGGAGGCTGAGATGAGTGGATTGCCTCCCAAAGCGCGAGATTATAGACTGAGCCACCGAGCCCGACTGGAGTAAGACTCTGACTCAAAAAAAGCCAAAAAACTTCAGTGACCTTCAAAGTACTCTTCATTTGATGCATTATGCCTATTGAGATGCTTTTTCCACTGCTCAAAACAGTGTTTGAACTCATCAATTGTGATGCCTTTTAGTGCTTTTGCCGTTTTTTGTTTCACCTCTTCCACTGCAAAACGTTTCCTTTTGAGGACTTTTTTCATCAGGGGAACAAAAATAAGTCGGTCGGGGCAAGATTGGGTAGATAGAGAGGGTGGGCACGGGAGTCATGCCGTTTTTGGTCAAAAACTGCTGAACACTCAGTGAAGAGAGTGAGACCAGGTGTGCTCGTAAATCACCCATCATGAAATGGACAAACACATTGGAAGAATCTCCAAAAAAAGAAAAGAAAAAACTTCACTGAAGCCAAATGCAACCTCCCACAACCACACTAGCTGGTACACAGATGCCAAAGGGTTCCTAGACCACTTACCTAGTGGGGGAGACCTATACTACAAAGGGATCGCCCTTCAAGAGATAATTCCTATTTTGGGGAGTCCCCTTCTCATATATCTCCAGCTCTGACCTCTCCCCTGAACTCCAGACTTGTGTAGCCCACTTCCTGTCTTCATTTGAATAGCTAACAGGTGCTGCATAGTTGAACTCCTGAGTTCTCCAGCCACCCTCAAAAAACAAAAAGCCACACTTGCTGGACATGGTGGCTCCCACCCGTAATCCCAGCACCTTGAGAGGCAGAGGTCAGAGGATTACCTGAACCCACGGGTTCAAGACCAGTCTGGGCAATGTGATGAGACCTCATCTCTACAATAAATCAAAAAATTAGCCGGGTGTGGTAGCACACAACTGTAGTTCCTGCTACTTGGAAAGCTGAAGCAGAAGGATCACCTGAGCCCAGCAGGTTAAGGCTGCAGTGGCTATGAGCGTGCCACTGCACTCCAGCCTGGGCAAGAGAGTGAGACTCCAACTAAAAAAAAAAAAAAGTCACCCTGTGTCTCCCACAGTTCCCACCATCTCAGTTAATGGCACTTCCATCTACCCAGTTGCTCAGGCCAGAAACTTTAGAGCCATCCTGATGCTTCCTCTCGCATTTTCCTCCAGTCCATCAGCCAGTCGTGTGGACTCCATCTTCAGAATAATCCAGAATCTGACCTCTGCTCGCCACACCACCACTAGCATTCCAGTCCAAGCTATCATCATCTCTTGCCTAAATTATTGTAATAATCTCCTAACTAGTCTTCATCCATCTACTTTTCCCCCCACCCTTGAGCCTCTCAACACAGCAGCCAGAGTGATCATGTTAAAATAGACATTAGGACTGGGCATGGTGGCTCACCCCGGTAATCCCAGCATTTTGCAAGGCTGAGGTGGGAGGATTGCTTGAGCCCAGGAGTTTGAGACAAGCCTGGGCAACACAGACAGACCTCACCTCGACAAAATTTCAAAAGAAAAATTAGCCAGACATGGTGGCGCTTGCCTGTAGTCCCAGCTACTTGGGAGGCTGAGGCAGAAGGATCACCTGAGCCCAGGAAGTCGAGGCTTCAGTGAGCTGTGATTGTGCTACTGCACCCCAGCCTGAGTGACAGGGTGAGACTCTGATTCAAAGAAAAAAAAAATAGAAATTAGCTCATGCCACTCTATTATTCAGAACCCCCCAGCAACTTCTCACTCAGTAAAAGCCAATCTGCTTACTGTGTGGCCTAATAGCCTTACACAATCTAGTCACCACTTACTTTGCTGAGGCAATCTCCTGTTACCCTCTAGTTTGTTCATTTTACTCCCACCCATTGGCCTCCTTGTTACCTGTCTAACACTCCAGACATGCTCCTGCCCCAGGGCCTTTGCAGATATCTGTATATCTCACTTTTTTTTTTTGAGTTGGAGTCTCACTCTGTTGCCCACACTGGAGTGCAGTGGCCGCTTCTGGCCATCACAGCCTCGACCTGCTGGGCTCCGGCGATCCTTCCGCCTCAGCCTTCCAAGTAGCTGGAACTACAGGCGCACGCTACCACACCCAGCTCATTTTGATTTATTGTAAAGATGAGGTCTCGCCAAGTTGCCCAGGCAGGTCTCGAACCTGCGGGCTCAGGCAATCCACTCACCTCAGCCTCCCAAAGCACGGGATTACAGGCTGAGCCACCGAGTCCGGCTATATCTCACTTTCTTACTTCCTTCAGATATTACTCAAAGGTCTTCTTGGTGAGGTCTTCCCTGACTATCTTAATAAATACTTCAACATCCTCCAGACACTCCTTAGATGTTTTAAAAAATTGTTTTAAAGAGGTGTGTTCTGGCTGGGCTTGGTGTCTCAGCCTGTAATCTCAGCATTTTGGGTGACCAAGGCGAGTGGATTGCCTGAGCCCGTGGGTTCGAGACCAGCCTGGGCAACTTGGTGAGACCTCGTTTCTACAATAAAATAAAAAATAGCCAGCATGGTAGCGCACGTCTGTAGTGCCAGCTACTTGGAAAGCTGAGGTAGAAGGATCGCCAGAACCCAGAACGTCGATGCTGGTGTGGCCATGAGCATGTGTGCCACTGCACTCCAGCCCAGGCGAAGGAGTGAGACTCCAACTCAAAAAAAAAGTGTGTTCTGGCTTCCGTGTGAAGAATGAATTGGAAAGGGCAAGGGTTGGTCCGAGAGGCCAAGAAGAGACGGTTACAGAATCAGATGGTCATAGCATGAGCTAAGGAGGTGGTAGTGGTGATGAAGAGGCGGGGCTGGATGTGAAAAATACTCTGTTTAGAAGATAAAATGGGGCCGGGCTCGGTGACTCAGCCTGTAATCCCAGCGCTTTGGGAGGCCGAGGTGAGTGGATTGCCTGAGCCCGCGGGTTCGAGACCCACCAGACAACTTGGCGAGACCTCATCTCTACAATAAATCAAAGATCAGTCGGGTGTGGTAGCGTGCGCCTATAGTTCCAGCTACTTGGAAGGCTGAGGCGGAAGGATCGCCGGAGCCCAGCAGGTCAAGGCTGCGATGGCCAGGAGTGGCCACTGCACTCCAGTCTGGGCGAGAGAGTGAGACGCCAACTCAAAAAAAAAAAAAAAAAAAGAAGATAAAATGGATACGACTTGATGATCGCTTGGATAGGGGCGTAAGGGTGAGCAAAATGAAGGAATCCCAAGTTTCTGGCTTGGGGCAGCTGATTGAGCAGTAGGGCCATTTACTGAGATAAGAAATATAGGTGCAAGAATAAATGTGACAGTGTCAAGGAGAAAGGCAGCAGTGAGTTTTAGGTGTGTTGAGTTTTCAGTACCTGTGTGCTCTCCAGGTGGAAATGTTCAGTAAACAGCTGGGTGCTTGGTTTTGAAAGCTGGCAGAGAGGTTAGAGCCAAAGATAAAGACTTGGAAGTCATCTGTAGTTTGTATTCAAAGCTTTAGCTATGGTAGAATTTCCTAGAAAAGTTATATAAATTGAGGAGGATGAAGAGTTGCTGATTACCAGTGCCAAATACTGCCCAAAGAATCCAATAAGAAAATAGCTGGGCCGGGCTCGGTGGCTCAGCCTGTAATCCTGCGCCTTAGGAGGCTGAGGTGAGTGGATTGCCTGAGCCCGCAGGTTCGAGACCAGCCCTGGCAACTTGGAGAGACCTTGTCTCTACAATAAATCAAAAAAATTAACCAGGCATTGTAGCACGCACCTGTAGTTCCGGCTACTTGGAAGACTGAGGCGGAAGGATCACTGGAGCCCAGCAGGTCGAGGCTGTGGTGGCCGTGAGCATGACACTCTGCACTCCAGCCTGGGCGACAGAGTGAGACTAACAAAGAAAGAAAGAGAGAGAGAGAAAGAGAGAGAGAGAAAGAAAGAGAGAAAGAAAGAAAGAAAGAAAGAAAGAAAGAAAGAAAGAAAGAAAGAAAGAAAGAAAGAAAGAAAGAAAGAAAGAAAGAAAGAAAAAGAAAATAGCCGAACAGCCTGTCACATGCCCCACTGCCTCTTCTTTCTCGCATGCCCCACTGCCTCCTCTTTTTTTTTTTTTTAGAGTCGGAGTCTCACTCTGTCGCCCAGACAGGAGTGCAGTGGTTGCTCACGGCCACCGCAGCCTCGACCTGCTGGGCTCCGGCGATCCTTCTGCCTCAGCCTTCCAAGTACCCGGAATTACAGGCATGCGCTACCACGCCCGGCTGATTTTTTGATTTATTGTAGAGATGAGGTCTCGCTACCCAGGTGGGTCTCGAACCCGTGGGCTCAGTCAATCCACTCACCTCAGCCTCCCAAAGGTGCAGGATTACAGGCTGAGCCACCTAGCCCGGCTTGCCTCTCCTTTCTTGCATGGAACTGCCGCCTCTTCTTGGCTCAACATGGACCCCAACTGCTCCTGCATCACTGGTGACTCCTGTGCCTGTGCTGGCTCCTGCATGTACAAAGAGTGCAAATGCACGTCCTGCAAGAAGGGCTGCTGCTCCTGCTGCCCCATTGACTGGGCCAAGTGTGCCCAGGGCTGTGTCTGCAAAGAGGCATTGGACAAGTGTAGCTGCTGCACCTGATGTCAGGAGTCCCTGATCCCAGATGGAGGTGGAGCAATGTGTATAAAGCTGGGGTTTTTTTTATACAATCCTGATTTGATCCTTTTACTACATTTATTTTTCTATAAAATATGTGAATTGTGCCAGGTGCAGTGGCTCACACCTGTAATCCCAGCACTTTATGAGGGGGAGATGAGAGGATTGCCTGAGCCCAAGGGTTCGAGACCAGCCTGGGCAACTTAGCGAGACCTCGTCTCTACAATAAATAAATTTTAAAAATTAGCCAGGTGTGGTGGCACTTGCCTGTAGTTCCAGCTACTTGGAAGGCTGAGGCTGAAGGATTGCCTGAGCCCAGCAGGTTGAGGCTGCACTCCAGCCTGGGTAACAGAGTAAGACACCAACTCAAAAAAAAAAAAAAAACCCCTAAGGATACAGCAGAGAACCACACAGACAAAAAGATATTCCTTTTTTCCATGGAGCTGAAATTCTAGTTGCAAGGAGAACAGACAAATAAAATAAACAAGTAAATTAAATTACACCAAATATGAAAAAGCAGTGAGTGCTCTGGAGAAAATAAAAGCAGGAAAAAGATATAGACTGGGCCTGAATCAGTTAAGTGGAGAAATGGAGACAAATGTCAGATCCCAGTGAGTAGAGCCATGGGTTGAGAGGGAGGAAGTGAAGTCAGCCAGAGTACACAACTATTTCAAGAAGCACAAATGCAGAGGGAGTGAGATGATCTTCAACAGGTGAATGGGTAAAACAACTGTGGTATATCCACAAAATGGAACAAACTATTGATGAGCACACATGAATGAATCGCAAAGGCATATGCTGAGTCAAAGAAGCCAGTCTCAAAAGGTTTATTTTCCTTTTCCTTCATTGTATTGTATTTTATTTTCGACAGGGTCTCACTCTGTTGCCCAGGCTGGAGTGTAGTGGCATGATCATAGCTCACTGCAGTCTCAAACTCCTGGGCTCAAGTGATCCTCCTGCCTCAGCCTCCCAAGTAGCTGAGACTGCAGATATGTGGGGTCTTGCCATGTTGTCCAGGCTGATCTCAAACTCATTTCCTGCCACCTCAGTCTTCCAAAGCAGAGATTACAGGCATGAGCCACCACACCTGGCCTGGTTATGCTTTCTTTTATATAACATTCTCAAAAGACAAAACTAAGCCCGGCTCAGTGGCTCAGCCTATAATCCCGCGCCTTTGGGAGGCTGAGGTGAGTGGATTGCCTGAGCCCGCGGGATCGAGACCCGCCTGGGCAGCGAGACCTCATCTCTACAATAAATCAAAAAATCAGCCGGGCATGGTAGCGCGCGCCTGTAATTCCGGCTACTCGGAAGACTGAGGCGGAAGGATCGCCCGAGCCCAGCAGGTTGAGGCTGCGGTGGCCAGGAGCGGCCACTGCACTCCAGTCTGGGCGACGGAGTGAGACTCCGACTCAAAAAAAAAAGACAAAACTACAGCAATGGAGAACAAATCAGAGGTTGCTAGGGCTGGGAGTGGGGGAGGCCTTGACTACAGAGGGGCAGCACATGAAAAGTCGGAGAGGGTGATGGGACAGTTCTGGATCCTGATTGTGGTGGAGGTCACACAAATCTATACATGTGTTCAAACTCCTAGAACCCGATACCAAAACAAGGTAATTGTACTGTGTTAATTTGTGAATGAGAGATTGGGCAGTATCTGAAAGGCATTAGGATTAGAGGAAAGTGTTGCTTTTGAGATGGGAGGTATTTGAGCTTATTCATTTGCTAAGGGAGAAAGGCAGGTCTCTTGGGAAGTTGGCCCAAGAAGAGTTCAGAGGTGTGAAATGCAGGACAACAGGGAAGAAAAGACGTATGTGTAGAGAATCAAAAATTGAGGCCCTGTCTGATACCTGTTTTCTCCAGGAACTGGAGGCTAGGTCACCTGCCTAGAGTGAAGGAAATAGGTGTGGGGCGAGGGGCACTGAGGGGTGTGTTGAGGTCTGGAAGAGCCACTTCAAAGGCGGGCTCTGCAGTCTGCGGGTCAGCTGAGGTGAGAGGCCATGAAGCTCAGGCAGCACTGATCTGCCACTTTGTGGATTGGTCTTCAGCAGCTTGGAGCAGAGAAGGTGTGGGGGATGGGGATCAGCCGACGGAAGAGGAGTGAGGACTTGAGAATAGGAGCAAACAAGAGCTGCAAGGATTAAAAAGGAGGAATGTGAAGCCAGCAGGGAACTGGTGGCCTACAGAAAAGAGAGGGCAGGCAACATGAGGGCTTAGTGATCTGAATGTTATGACTAGATGGCAGAGGGAGTGAAGAAGTGGATGGAAGGATACTGTGGTCAGTGAGAGTTTGAAGTAGAAGATTTCAGAAGTGGACATTAAGACTAGTAAGTAAAGTAAGAGATTGGATCAGTATCTAGAATACTTTTATTTTTTGAGTCAGAGTCTCACTCTGTCACCCAAGCTGGCGTGCAGTGGCATGCTCATAGCGACCGCAGCCTGGACCAGCTGGGCTCAGGTGATCATTCCTCCTCAACTTTCCAAGCAGCTGGGACTACAGGCGTGCACCACCACACCTGACTCATTTTTTATTTATTGTAGAGACAATGCCTCCCCAAGTTGTCCAGACTGGTCTCAAACCACTGGGCTCAGGCAATCCTCTCACCTTCACCTCTGCCTCCCCAAAGTGCTGGAATTATAGGTGTGAGCCACCGAACCGGGCTATTACCTAGAATACTTTCTACAGAGCAGTAATCGCAATGCTGGCTCCTATATATTGATCCTTACTGTGTACTTTACATGTATCATCTCATTTAATTCTCACAATAGTCCCAGGAAGCATTACTATTTCCATTTTCTTTTTTTGGTTTTGTTTTTGTTTTGTTTTGTTTTGTTTTTGAGTTGGAGTCTCACTCTGTCCCCAGACTGGAGTGCAGTGGTCGCTCCCGGCCACCGCAGCCTGGATCCGCTGGGCTCCGGCGATCCTTCCGCCTCAGCCTTCCGAGTAGCCGGAACTACAGGCGCGCGCTACCACACCCGGCTCATTTTTGATTT